CCTTTCCTCCCCCATCCTCCATTCCAGGGCCTGAAACACGGACAGGGTGGTAAGCAATCTTGGCCCATGCTTATGGAGACAATACATATAAGTGCCAGAGCAACAAAATTAAAGCAGCCTGGACCGCTGAGGCTGTGGAGCTGCCATATAGCCCTGCACTGTGTATACTTAGAATGTTACATGAAAGAGAAATAAACTATCTTACACCAAGTCATTTATTCTGTGGTTTCTTTTACTGCAGCTAAGTCTATTTGTCTTGATACAGGAGATTCCACCATTAGTAATTCATTTGTTTTATAATTTATTTATTGGACAAATAATATTTATTGAGTTTTGAGTGCTCTCGTTATATCCTCTTAAATAGGAGCTGGCGGGTAAGCACGGAGCTGGGTACCAGGAAGGCGAAGGAATCTGGTCCATCAAAGAACTCAGAAAGGGGAGGTGAGTTCATCTATAAGCTCACCCTCTCCCAGAAACATGACTTACCTTGGTTTCCACAAATGGCATTTATCATCCTCCGTCAATGAAACAACTGCTTTGGGAGGGGAGACTGTGGTGACCAAAGAAGTCTTGAAGGGGATGAGGAAGTCCAAGTTACCAGCGACTGAAGGAGGACGGGTCACTGCATCAAATTCCTGGTCCACGGGCATCTGGTCGGTGAGGCTGCTGCTGGCACAGAGCAGGGGGAGCTTTCTCCCTCGGTTGTTTTTAGAAGAAAGTGACGAAGGAGTCACTTTGGTGACTTAGGTGAGTGAAAGCTTACCTTCTAGAGAGTGGGCAGGGTAGGTCCATGATGCAGTGCAGCTGGTCAGAGAGAAGGTGATGAGGCACGGGGTTTCCCCAGCAAATTCCCACAGGAGGGGAAAACCCCCGACCACTGGGAATGCAGTTAAAAAACCCCAACATGTTAAATATACATGAAAGAGGAGCATAGAAATAAGCATGGGTTGGCATTCAAATTGGTCTTTAGCTCTAAAAACTGAAAATAGTTTTCAGACAAGAGGTAGAACACTCCCTTCACCCCATCCGGGCAACCCATGCTACTTCCAGACATTTGTCCCAGTGGTGGCTGCTGTAGGTGGCTTGTTCAGCTTTCATTCCACCTCCTCCAGGTAGGTGAGCCCTCCTGAGCAGCAGGGCGAGAAAGCTGAACACTAGGCTATGGCATGGAGGGTTCCAGACGCGGTTTAGATATTGCTGATCACATGTGCTGCCTAAGACCGAACGTAAATGGGGTTAAGGGGGGCAGAGGCATTTGTGGGGGAGACAGTCTGTTTTGGGGCCCGGGCAGATACAACAGACACGGGCAGTAATTTTGGATGGCCGCGTTCTGATCCTGAGGTCACCGCTGAGGTGTAGTCCCGGGGCCGACAGTTGCAGTGACTCCGCCGTCCTGATGGTGGCAGAGGTAGCCGCTCCCACGGCAGCTCGGTACTGCAGTGATTTCTGGGTTTCATTCTCGGAGGCGCAGTGTGACCCCACCCCTGCAGCCCTTCCGGTAACTTGGTAAGCCCCCAGTTATCCGGATTACGCCCCTTTCTGCTTCAGAAATAGGTACAGTGGGGTCTGCTATCTGCAACTGAACCCTGATGATAAAGTGCCTGATAAAGTAGGTATCATTAAATGTCTGCTGAATGAATGGATGGGCAAATAGAGACTGCCAAGATGTCTACAGTGAGTTGGGCAGTCAAAACAGTTGGGCTTGCCCTGACTGGTGTGGCTCAGTTGGTTGGGTGTCCTTCTGCAAAGTGAAAGGTCGCCAGTTAGAGTCCCAGTCAGGGCACATGGCTGGGTTTCAGGTTTGGTCCCTGGTCAGGGCCTGTATGAGAAGCAGCGAATCGATGTTTCTCTCCTTCCCTTCTTCTTTCTCTAAAAATAAATAAATAAAATCTTTAAAAAAAAAAGATGTAATTTCAGAATAAAGAATTGTTAAGTTAAATACATTTATCTTTGACCAAAAACCCCATATCACCCTTATTTTTTCATTTTGCTGTAGACCAGTGACAACATTGTCGTGGAAAGTACCAGAAAGATGCAGGAAAGAAAAGAGACACTGTAGAGAGAGAAAGAAGGGACGGTGAGTAGACAGGGAATGAGAAAAGGGGAAGACAGAGACCTACCAGTGAGGGGTTCCCGTGCTCTGAATTGCCCCCCATTCTCCTCATACAGGACTGGGGTGGCCAGATTTGGGCCCAAACCAACAGGCAGAGCTGTGGCCACACTCATAGGTCAAGTGGCTCAGTAACTGCCCCATGGGCCCTGGAGACTGGTGATCTGGCTCCTACCCCTTCCCAGGGCACAGGTGTCCTGGGTGTGTGCGCGTGTCCAGCGCCAGCTGCACTTGGGGGACAGGCCATTGGAACACGGAAAAGAGCACAGGACTCAGAGTCAGGAGCCCAAGGTATGTGCCTGGCTCCTCCAAGTCACTTGGGGAAAGCCTTTCCTTCTCTGGGACTCAGTTTCATCTTATAATGAATTCTGAACCAGTCTCGAGGAAAACTGCAGCTGTCTCTCAAAAATAACGTTGTAAGCCATGCACTAAGTATTTTGCATAGAATTTCAAGGGTTCCACTACCCAGGCAGGGCCTGCAATGAACTTCCCAGGAGTCCCTAGACCCCAGACCAAGGAACCCAAACTGCCAATCGGGACACACAGCTGCTGGCTGTTGCCTCTAAAGCTTCCCCTTTACTGAGCAGTCAACAATATTTTCCAGTTGTCTAACACTCGCGGTGGCAGGGCCAAAAACCTCAGGGAAGGTGTAACTCTATACAAGAATTACTAGCCCCCAGGGCTCCTTGCAGGTTCCCAGTGGAGCTGCAAGACACAATGAACTTCACGGATGGCTAACTAGCTGACTGAAGCAGCAGGCCCCCAGTCTGGAGAGAGTTTTAGACTGTGACCACTGCAGGCAGAGGACACAGGGCTGACAGGAGTCCATTAGTGGGGGACAAGGCCTTCTGGCCACGAAAGGCAGTGCAGGGGAGTGGGAAGAGCTTAGTCTCAGAAGCTAGAGTGCGCTGGGGTTTATATTTGGCTCTGTGACACAATTGCGCTATTTGGGCATGTTACCCTACTTTGACCCTGTGGGTTTTTCATCTATAAACTGGAGATACAAGTGATGCAGCAGAAATGGAAGAATACACTGAATATTCCCAGATTCCCTTCATTTGCCAGCCTCCCTTGCAAAAGGGTGAGGTCGTGTGACTAGTTTTGGCCAATGGTCTGTCAGTGGAGGAGTCCTGTGCCATGCCTGGCTGAAGCATTTAAGTGACCAGGTGCTTCCTCCATCTCTCTCTTCTGTTTTCTGCAATGACCCCAGAGGCCAGTGTTCCAGGTGGTGTGGCTGCAAAGTGGAAGGCAGGTCTCCTGTCCCATATCAGGCTCTACATAGGTGGCAAATAAAGCATTGTGTGCCAAGCCACTGAAATTACAGGAGTCCTCAGTTGTGAAAGCTAGTGTTAATTACCTCGACTGAATCAGGGAGGGCTAAATAAGATAATGGATACAAGGCCTTCTGAGGTCTAGACGGTGTTGCTCAGTGGTTGGAGCGTTGTCCTGTAACCAAAGGGCTGTGGGTTCGATTCCTGGTCAGGGCACATGCCTGGGTTATGGGTTCACTCCTGGCCCGGGCATGGGCACGTGCAACCTCTGGTCCGGATGCTTATGACCCCTGGTGCAGGCGGCACAGACTCCCCGTCTGGGTGCGTATGGAGGCAACCAATGGATGCTTCCCTTGCATCGATGTTTTTCTCTGTCTCCCTTCCTCTCTGCCTTCTTCTCTCTCTCTCTAAAAAAAAAAAAAAAAAAAGAAAAAAAGGCAAATGAAAATCTCAGGTGAGGATAAAAAACAACAGCAATGACAACAACAAAAGACAAACCAACCAAACAAAAAACAACCTTCTTAGTACAGTGGGGGCTGTTTTCTTAGAGAAAAGACCTAAGCCCGTGTATTAGTCAGCTCAGCTGCCATAACAAAATACCAGAGACTGGGTGGCTTAAATGACAGAAACTTTTCCTCACAGTTCTAGAAGATGCCCAAGATCAGGGTGTCAGGAGGGTTGGGTTTTGGTGAGAGCTCCCTCTGGCTTGCAGACAGCTGCCTTCTCCCTGTGTCCTCACAGGACAGAGACAGAGAGACAAGGCCTCCCAAGGCCCCATCTCCAAATACCATCACACCAAGGGGAAGGCTTCCACATGGATTTGGGGGGGCACAATTCACTCGATAGCACTCCCCTCAACACACAGCCCCTCAGATCTTTTCTTAAGAGCACATTTTTAACAGCAGAAACGGGCAAGGGTGGGTGAGGTGGGAGTTTCATCCAGGGGAAACTGTGAGGAGGGCCCGCCTCCCCCCACTTCCGCTGATGGCTACAGACACTCTCCCTCCTCCTCTTCCGAGTTTTCCTCTCTCCTCCCCGTAGTCTTGACCCCACACTTCACAGATAAATCATAGACAATTAATCGAGTCATTACCACTAGAAGAGGCCATCTTGTCTTACTTCCTGATTCTTGCGGGTGTCTGGACCGGGCCTGGGACAAGGGTAGGAGAGGCACGGGAGTCCTGCTGGTTTCTCAAAAAGTAAAGGGCGGGGCAATTGGTACAGTCCCCTGACGGAGAGTCGGAATATCAAGAGGGAAGCTATTTTTATTTCAGTGTGTAAGTTTTGCATAATTTTTCAAAATAAAGCTTTATTTTACAGTTTTATGTTTCTATTTGGAAGTATTGTATAATATATAGAGAGTCCCCTGAGGTCCCTTCAATCTATAAAGTCTGACCTGTCCAAAGCTCGAATCAAGGTCTCGCGGGGGCGCCTTCTTCTCTGCCTTCCCGGAGTGCCAGAAAGGGCTTCCGCCCGGCTTTTCTCTCCCAGTTGGGCAACCTGTGACCATTAACTTCCTCACCCTCAACCTCCAGCCGGGGGCGGGGGCACTGGGTCACGAGTCAGGGAAGGAGGTTTATCCCGAGCCCCACGCCCACCGGACCGTGCAACCCGCGGACATGGCCACAGCCTTCGCTCTCCTCGCCGGGGTCCTGCTCCCCTGCTGGGGCGCCCTCCCGCAGTTTAGAAAGGGGTTGATGAAGGTGAGCCAAAGAGCATTTCAAACCTTCCGCTGGAGTAGAGGGTGGTGGCCGAGGTATGACAGCGTAGCCAGAAGGCACCGGTAGGGTTTGGAGAGAGAAGTGGCGGTGGGTGGGAACCACCACAGATTTGTTTCCAGGCTGGAAACCTGATGTTTCCCAACAGAAAGCCGTGCTTTACCTCTCTGGTGGCTCTGGAGGTGAAAGAAAGTGACCTTAAGTCCGGCACTATCCCTTCCCTCCCCCACCCAGTGCCCACTTGGGACTGTCTCAGCCCTGGGCTCTCAGCCCTGGGTCCCCAGCCACACCTCACATACCGGCTCTAGTTTCTCCCCCTCCCCTCACTTCTAGGCACAGGAACTCTTTCCTCTCTGTTCCGTCTTTCTCCCCCACCGCAGACTTTCTGCCCATACTCCTACTGAAAGTGTGATCTTGGAGCATTTGCTCCTCTAGCACGGGTCACCCTTTGGGACCCACAGAAATGAGGGGCCCCCCAGGAAAGGAAAAGCAGAGGGAAAGCACTCAGTCTCCACTCTCTCTCCCCTGATCCTCTGAGTGCTGCTGGAGGAGGGAGGAGGAGGAGGGCATTCATTGGGGGTGGGGCTTGGGGCTGGCCACCTCAGGCTTTTCTTCTTGGATCCCTGCGACCTTGGCAGTGCCAAGAGCTTTCCATAGCCGCTCCACAGAGCCAGAGAGCCGGTGGCTCAAGGGTTGTCCCCACAGATGAACGGGGCTTGGTGCTCCCACCACTCTCAGTGCATCAGTGACTGCTGCCTCATGAACCTGGACTACGGTGGCACCTTCTGTGCCCCCAAGGCCAGAAGAGCTATGGTGTGCTTGCCTCAGGTGAGGCTCTGGGGTGGGGCAACCCCCTCTGGCAAGTAGGGTGGGAAAAGTTAAAAAAAACATATGGCTACACCTTCTTTTTCACCCTCTACTTGGGGTGCCCTTCCCCCTTCTCCACCTGGCAAACTCCTATTCATCCTGCAATGCCAGGTGCTCCCTCTGATAAGCCTTCTCTCCTTGGAATTCCCACACCCCTGGCCCCTACCCTCAGCAGAGCATGGATCTCCCTGATGGACCACGCCTTCTGTCTGTGTCCGCCACTGCTTGGAGCTCTCCAAGCGCAGGATTGCAGCATATTCATCTGTGAACCCCCTACCCCTCAGCTTAGTGCCTGCATGTAGCTCAGCAAATGTTTGTTGAGAGAGTGAATGAATGAGTGTCTCTACCCTAACATTACTGAGCCAAAGTAGGTGGGAAAAGACCTCCATAGCAATCCCCCTCCCTACCACAGCGGCCTCACTTCTGTAGAGGAGCGAAGCACTGGAGTGGCAGGGCCACAGCCCTGGAGTTGGGCCTGAGTGTGAATCCTGACTTCCCCACCCCCTGTCGTTGTGACTTCAGGATGGTCACTTCTGTTCTCTGAGCCTTAGTCTCCTCATCTGTAAAATGGGGTTCACGTACGTACCCCACCAGGCTGTTGGGAAGAGCATGCAATCCTGGCGACGACGACAGCGCTCACCCGAGCAGTGGAAGTGCAGGGCGCAGAATGTTCCTGCTTGGTCTTCTCTCATCTGGCCCTGGGCCCAGACCTTTGTTGAGAGGATGCACTCGGCCCCCGTGTCCCTGTCCGGGGAGCTGCCGATGCCTTTAGGAGCCAACCGGGCCCCTGCCCTGGGCTGACTGCAGCTGAAGGGGCAGGAGGGTTTTTTCATTAAGGGCATTTGATCTAATTTATTTCATGTAATCCTCATAATAACCTTAGGAGGCGGGTTACTATTATTTCCCCATTTGACAGATGAGGAAACTGAGACACAGAGGCTCATTAAGCTGCCTAAGCTCATGAAGTTATAAGCTGTAGAGCTGACAGACCCTGGGTTTACCTCACCATCACTTGTGCTCTTGCTCCTGCTCCCCGAGAAGGTTAAACCCCCATCCTCCCTGTACCTTGGTGACCCCCAACTCTCATATTCATTTCCCACAGACCAAGGGAGCCACCAACGTCATATGCCCCTGCCAATTGGGCTTGACTTGCATATCCAAGGACCTGAACTGTCCTCGTCGGTGCCATTTGATTTAGAGGAGGGTGCGGGCTGGTCACTGCCATCCTCCCTCCATCCCCTGGGCCAGAGGCCTTGGGAGTCCCCATCTTGTTCAAAATCTAGCTCCTGAAACATTAAAGTCATTCCTGGCTCTGACCTCTGTCTGCATTTCCTGGCAAAAGGAAACTGATAGAGATTGTTTCATTCAGGGGGTGGGAATTGGAGGAAGCAGAGAGTGAATGGGGAGACTGGAGGCGTGAAAGAACTTCCCAAGGGGTTGGGCCTTGTCTGGAGGCATAGTGGTCTCCAGGCAGTAGTGTGGGAAGGGAATGGGTTAGGGGTGTGGGCGAGAGGAGGCCGGGTCCAGGAAGGGCCAAGTCCTGGGATGAAGGGCTGTGTGGGAGCGGGGCAGGGCTGAGGGATGTGCCTGGAGAGTATATGAATGGGTGCGTGGTAGGAGGGACTGAGTGGGAGTATGTGAATTCTTTGCAAGGGGGCAAAAGGGTAGAGGTCATTGAGAGAGTATTTATGAGAATGTATGTGAAATATAAACACAGAAATGAAGTGTAAATGCCTGTTTGGGAAGGAGTCTGGAGCATTGATCTCTTTGCTCCCTCAGATATGATCAATTACATTTTATGGATAAAGAAACTGAGGCTCCGAGAGCTACATGACATATCCAAGGTCACACCATGGGGGTATTGGTGAGGACTCTTTCTGCTCCAAGTGTCAAAAAAAAAAAAAAAAAAAAAAAAAAGGCAAGGGTACTTGACTCAAAGTTCCAACAAACCATCAGCTGCAGTTGCCGCAGCTCTGTCTTCGGCTTCACGTTGTTTCCATTGGCCAAAACCACACTAAGTCGTCTCCCAGTTTGAGGCATTCAGCAAATAATGGCAAGGCAGATCCAGAAATGGACACCTCATTTCCATGACAAATATGGTAATGCTGTATAAGCTAATGGAGCCACTTGCTTCTGCGCTGCTATATGGACACATACAGCAACACACATTGGAATAGAAGGGAACCTGTGCCCTATTGGCAGAGCACCCCAACGGAATGGAGAGATCAGTAATCATTCCTGCTGGTGTGATAATGAATTGTCTTAAAACCAACTCGTAATTGATGCCAAGTGAGAGCACTGTGTACCCATTAAAATATGGCATGATTGAAGAAATAAAGTCCACTTGAAACCTTCAAAATAAAACCCCCAAATTGGTCCAAATGATGAGGGAATTCATTGGTGATCAGAACGAGACATCCAGAAGCAGGGCGGGCCTTGTAGCCGAATGGAGGTCTGGCCGCCTGTCACTGCAAAAGCCAATATTTGAGAGGCAGGTGCTGATGTAAAGGAAACTGGTTTGTTTTCAAGTACTGGCAGCCTGGAAGATGGGAGCTCGTGCCGCCAAGCCCAGCTCACCTCTCAGTGGAGGCAGAGGTTTTTATAAGGAGGCAGAGGGGAACAGAGCAAAGAGATCAAGGAAGGGGGTTGAAAAGTTTTCTCATGCAGGCGAGCGCAGTCCACTCCGATAGGGCAAGTGATGGTCCTGTGTGCATCATCCTGGCCCCATGGATGAAGGCCAGCCAACCCCCAGGGCTGAGATGACTGAAAGTCAGAACCTGTATCTTTTGAAGTTAGTTCCTAAGATTCTTATACAAACATGCTGTTAATCTGCAAGCTACATATTAGTCAGAGTTAGCACTTACAGAAACAATGTCCAAAGAATGGTGGGGTTGGTTATAATTCTCCACTACTACAGTTTTCCAAATTAATAGCCTCAGGTCCGGCTGAATCCAGCAGATCCATGGCCCTCAAGCTGGATTCCTTCCCGATAGCCACTAAGTTCCAGATGTCAGCTAATAAAGACAGGTAGGGTTTATTGAGACCCTAGTATGTCCCAGACATAATGCAAAGTGCTTTCTAATCTATATTAACTCATTGTTACAACAAAGTTATATTAGGCACTGTAATTACCCTTATTTTACAAATAGGGAGTTAAGGCTCAATAATCCTTCTCAAGTGCTCACAGTAGCCACTGGGACTGGGATTTGGACCCAGGCTGTCTTGCTCTGGAGGGCAGGTACTTAACCACAAATCCATCTCACATATGCATTTTGTGCCTTCCAGAGAAAGGAAACATCTCTGTCCCAGGATTCTTAGCAAACACCCCAAGATTGATTGTGATTGGATTTACAGAGTCTGCAAACTCATCTCCTAGTCAGTCATTGTGGTGGAATTTACTGGTTGGCTTAGCCTGGGTCATGTGCAGGGGTGGAGTCAGCACCTTGGGATAAATATGGAAGGGCTTTGGGGCCCTAATGAGGCTTATCTGAGGGCAGAGGGGATAGGTATCCAGACAAACCAGTGCGGAAACTGCCCTAGGGCGTTCCTTTCCTCCACATAGTCGAAGAGGGCTCATCACCGTATCTGCTGGGCCCACATTCCAGTTAGAAATAAAGAGGTAGAAGGACAGCAAATGCTTCCCCTTCCTAAAAGGGCATGACCAAGAGCAGCATGAATTATTTTCACCTGGGAAAAACTTGGTCACATGACTGCAGATAGCCACAAGGTAGTCTGGAAAACAGGTGCCCAGGTAAAGCTTAGGGTTCTATTATTAAAGGACAAAGGGAAAACCTATAGTGGGAACAACTTGTGGTCATGAAAGCCTTTATTATTATTTTAATAAAGCAAGAGAAGCTTGGATGCCACGATCTGGAGCTAATGGTGTACTGCTAAGCAGCTCTTTCTCTCTTTAAAAAAAAGAAAAGTCCTCACTCAAAAATATGTTCATTGATTTTAGAGAGAGACAGGAAAGAGAGAAACATCACTGTGAAAGAGAAACATCCATCGGCTGCCTCCCGTATACACCCCAACCAGGATAGGACCCGCAGCCTAGCCTGCAACATTTTGGTGTATGGGAGGACACTCCAACCAGCCAGGCCACCCAGCCAGGGCAGGCAGCTCTCTCCTGAGCTACACTTCTATTGGGCTGTGCACTCTGGCTTAACCACAGCATCAGGAGGTGGGGGTGGAGGGCAGCACAAGACCCACGACTTCCCAGCAAGCCCTGTGGTAAAGCCTGGTTGAGTCATTGTTGGAAACATGGTTGAATTGCCGACAGTACTCGGGAGAGCAGCCATCTATGTCTACGTCCATGATCGAGTCACAGCTTTCTTTTCTACAGGAGGTGAACACAGCAAAAGATTGAAGATTTAAAAAAAACAGAAAAATTTAAGAATTTCCTAACAATTGCTTTGGAAAGAGAGCTGAGAATGGCAGTGACTTATGAAAAGTCTTATACTTTTATTTTGAAAAACTTTAAAGCCAATAAAGACTAAATACACTAAATAAAAGTTGCACAGATGACATTTTGCATTGCATTAAATTAGGCAATATGGGTGGTCCTCTACCCACATTCCCATTTGCCATATCTAAGGAACATTTACTGATTTTGCCTGCCATAGGTCCATCGCTTCTTTTTTCTTGGCAACCTGGAATTTCCTGTGAGGAAACCACCCCCTCTCATTCTCAGCCCATGCAGTCGAAGGGCACTGCGTTCACATCAGAAACTGAATCCTCTAGACATAGCCTGGTTTAGTGGGTGTCCATGAGGCTCCTTCTGTTGCTCTGGCTTTAGTGATAGGTTCGGTGGCACATGACCCAGACCGTCCAAGCAGAGTGAAGTTTAGGATTTGTATGTGTTAACAAAGGTGATACTTTCTCTTTCACTGGACTTGAGCATGGGGGAAAGTGGGTCTGTGGCTATTGGCAGCCATCTTACCACCATGTGGACTCAGAATGAAGCCATGTTCCAGTGTCTTCATTTAAGTCCCTGAAACAAGCTGTGCCTTAAGCCAGATTGCTCTACCACTAGACTAAATTATATAATCCAGTAAATTCACTTTTTTAAAAACCACTTTGGGTTGGATTTCTGTCACTTCTGATCAAGAAAGTGCTGACTGACTCTCTGTCCCTTGAAGATGACGATTTTCAGAAGGCCTGCAGAAGTGCGTGCAGGCGTGCTGGATTTTCTCAAGAAACGGAGTTATCAACATTCTAATTGAAGGCCTCTGGCAGAGGGGAGTTAAGTATAAAGATGAAAATGAGTTTAATCTTCTGTCATTTGATAACTTTGTGACTTTGGGGAAGTTTGGCAACCTCTCTGTGCCTTAGGCACCTCATCTGAGAGACAAAATGTTCATAATGCTGTTTATTAATTATAATACACAGTGGGACTCAATGAGAGAATCTTTTGAAATCTCTCTAACTCCAAGAAATTCTGATTCTGAAGATGATAACAGCTTCTGTTTATGGGATGCCTACTGTATATGTAGCACAATACCTGATATTTAAGCATCATGTAACCTTTGTGATACACTGTTATTATCCTGCATTTTGCAGATGGGGAAACTGAGGCTCAAAGAAGTTATAAAACCTGCCCAAGATTACACAGCCAATAAGCAACAGAGCTGGGATTGCACCCGGATCTTGCCAGAGCCCAAGCACTACATTATTCTGGAATCAAGATGAGCCCAGCAACTGGTCCAGGATGCAGCCGTGGGCGGAGAACTTCCACCGCCACCGTCTCACTCGTTCATCCATCTCTTTGGTCTGGGAGCCTCTCAGTGCCAGCCTCTCCTGTCAGTGCTAGACCTGGGCAGTCCTGTTACAGAAAACAACCCCCCGCCGGGGTGTTTTGTTCTGTGGCTCTTCTTTGCCTGCCGCTGTGTTCAGGACTGTGGCTCTCAATGCCAGAGTTTGGTAAAAAGGAAAGGAACTATTTAATTAAACGCTATATAGGTTTTCAGTAATGACAGAATTCTACCATTAAATCTCACTCCCTTTAGAAACAAAGACACACCTACAACACACAGTCCTGCCCTCCCCCTTTGCCCAGTCAGGCCAGTCTCAGAGCATTCCAGTCAGAAGTACTGCCTTCCAGAAGAAGGAAACAGAATTCTGCAGCACCTCTCCCGGTTTCTCCCAGTAATCCATGCTTGGACTGGCAGGTCTCCTACGGTTCCCAGCACCATCAGCTGT